TTTTTTGTGATATATTTTTTTGGGCCAGCATCATATTTGGGAGAGATGTTAGAAAAGCTTTCAGACACAAAGTGACTTTCTTCAGGTCTGGGAAAGCAGCAAATGCAGCGAATGCAAAAAGACATCTTTTACGCTTGGAGTTAACACAAACTATCGCTTTATCTAGTATTTATCTTAGGGTCTTTTTTTTGACATGTATATAGTTTCAGTTTCTGCTCAAGGAATACTGGAGAGGACAGCAAGGCTATATTAAAAGACAACTAACATATTTTAGGGAATAAATTAGTTCACAGAAAAAGCTGATGAAGTTCTCAGACTTTGAACCCAAACATCAAATTTATGCCAGTTCCAGTAAGGCTACAAGATCTTAATCTACACTCAACAGTCTTTCTTCCCATTGGATTTATCTGAGGGCTGGGTGACCATTGTTCTACACATAGTAGAAAAATGCTGAAAGAATCTCAAAACCTTTGAGGGGAGAGGATGTAGAAAGTGTCTGCTCCCTCTGCTGATAGGATCAGTCCCCCCACTCAAAACATTGTACTCCAAAGGACCTTAACAGCCTCCTTACATTGCACTCACTCAACCTCAAAACTCAGACTCTGGATCCGATTTTGTATTTGCTATGTTGTCATTCATCACTGGGCCCTCTTCATTTTGCTCCTTCCCTACCACTGCAGTCCCTCAGTTGCCCCAACCTGCTTTTCCTGCCTGCCACACTTCCCTTTTCTTTCCCATTTTCTTCTCCCTCCCTATGTTCTTCTCTCTTCTGGCACATTCCCTGGCCCTCCCAGGGCTGCGGGTCCCTGGATCTGCATGCATCTTCCTGGTGGTGGATGCAGGCTGCACCCAGTGCCAGTCCCAGACAGCAGCAGTAGGCTCCTGTCATCTGGCAGGCAGATTGGGGTCCCGCGTGCACCCCCAGGAGGGCTGCGGGGGCTGTGCCAGACTCCTCCCAAGGGTGCAGGCCCCCAATCTGCCTGCCAGATGACAGGAAGATGCTGCTGCTGCCTGGGACCAGTGCTGGGCGCAGCCCACACCTGGCTCTGGGAAGATTGATACTGCTGCTGGCCCCAGGTGCAGCAGCAGCCTCCTGTCATCTGGCAGGCAGATTGGGGGCCTGCACACCTTGGGAGGAGTCCGGCACAGCCCTGGAGCCCTCCCAGGGGTGCAGGACCCTGGATCTGCTGGGCTGGATGACAGGAGGCTGCTGGCAAGTGAGAGAAGTTTTGCTTGTCAACAACTTGGGGTGCAGTTTCCCAGAAACTTCTGCACCTGTCTCCTTAAAACTTGGCAGCCTTCATGCCCTCAGAAGGGGCTACCATCCCTGAAAGTTTCATCCAAATTAGTTGGGAAATGACAACGTTTTAGGCATTTTCATGATTCCCTATTATAGCCTATGGGTGAAGCATCGAAACAGTGGAACAGTTTCAATGAAACGAAACAAAACAGTGCTTTTGAAACAAAACAAAACTCAAAACAAACCCCTGTTCTGTCAAAAAGGAAGTTGAAGTGGAATGGTGCTTTTTCGCACAGACCTAATGCATAATATATTTCCTCCTCAGTTGCAAGTTAATGAAAGTTCCTTGTAATGAAGTTGAGTCTGTTGCTGTCAGTTGAAATGTGATATGCAGGCATTTGGATACAGTGTTCCATAACTTGGTATTTCCTTGCCTTTTAGGGGATATCAAATTTAGTCAATCCCTAAGCCCTTTTAAACAAAATCTTTTTAAAAAATAAAATTAAGGTCCAATTTGCCTGTCCAAGCTTTCTTTGTTTCCATTTGATTTAAGTCATCTTCCTCCCCTGGTTTTACATCATTCACATAGATTTATAGAAGATGACATATATGATTTCATAGTAAGATCACCTGTAGATGCTAGATTTCATTCTTCAGTAATATTTATTAAGGCTTTCAGTTCATTTTATATCTGTTGGAAAGCCGTGTGAAAGCACTCCTTTTCTAGTAATGAAATAGTAAAATACCAGAACTATCATAACAAACTTTTAAAGATAATTCCTGAAGCAGATGTTCGCAAACAGACAATTTTTATTAAAATAACAGTGGGAAAGAGTTTGCTTTTGTTTGTTTGGCCCTGGAGGAAATTAAAAAGCCTTTCTATAATTTTGATTATAACTTCAAGTGTGGATTTTATTGTTCCAAGGATATGGTGGTATGAAGGATGGAAACCTTTAGGGTTTAAAACCTGATTTAAAAGCTATAAATTGAACTTTTCTTGTTAATCTTAGGAAAACAGTTCCTGTGGCAATTTTCTTTTCTAATGTGCTGAATGTGTAGGTCTGCTTTAAAAACTGACTATATAAAAATGACACCCGCTTAGTCAACACATCTGTTCCTTATGTGTATTCTAAGGTGTATCTGCTGACTTCTGTGACAAAAAGTGTTTACTGCTAACCCTGCAGAGCCAGAACAGTAAGGAGAGAAAGCTGGATTCTGTTCTTTTTTTCTGCGATATCAACAGAATTGTTCACTAGGGCCCTGATCCAGCACAAAGAAAGTTAATTGAAGCTTTACCATTGACTTCAGTAACCCCTGTAGCCTTGACCCAAAGTTCACTGACATCAGTGAGATGTTTCCACTGGGATTGCCTGAGCTGTCACTGTCTTCAGACTATACCCCAGTGTGATTGCTGTACACTGTAGTGTGGCTAAAGGTATAATTGCAAAACCTTTATTTACTGGTAATGATGTGTGCAGCAAAGGAAGAACTCATATTGTCCTGAAAGTAAGTATAAAGGATAGGCAGTTAGAAAAGCAGCTGCCGCTGTTTCTTTTTAACCTGGAAACATGGAATCAACCATCTCGGTTTTAGGGAGTCACTTTTCGAGTAGAGCAATATTTGCAAAATGAATAGTCCTGCAGCTCCCCAAACCATATGAAGGGGTATATTTTGTTTTGGTGCCTGTATAAAGCAGTACCGTGGCAGAGGTAGAGAGTGTCCAACTGCATCTCAAGTGACACGAGTTTCTTCTTTTCTCTGAAGCCCTACTGATGATCGTGCCCTGGTGATCCACCTGTAACAGGGTCCCCGTTCTTTTGTTCTATGGAGTCGGATGTGTCCAGACGTGAATACTAGCTCCATCTCTCCCCCATGTGCTAGTGGCTACAGAAGCCAACTATTCTAATCCATGGCTGGCTGGCTGGCTATGTTAGTCCTCCTGAGAACAACAGAGGGGAAAGTGAGGTCCAGTGGCCTGTGCATGAGATGAGGAGGTGGTCATGTTTAAGTTCTCATTCTAGCTCTAAAACTAAATCTTCTTCTGGTCTTGGGATGTCACTTCAAAGTCACTTTAATAATCTGTTTATTTATCTGTGAAACTGAGATGATATTTATCTACCTATTGTAAATCCAGCAGCATAACCTGGGGTTGGTGAGTGGGGCTCCAGTGCCAGACACCAACTTAATGGGTGTGTTGCCCCCTGGGGGGTTTGGGGGCAACAGCAGCAGCCCCACACCACTGCCAGTGCAGCAGCAGCAGCTAGGAGCAGGGACACCTCTCTTTTCCTGTAGCAACCACTACAGTGGGCAGACTTTGCCTCTTTCAGGCAAGTAAGGCTCCTGCCCTCTACCCCAACCCCATGCTTAGCATCCTTAGCAGCATATGCTTAGCACTCAGCAGCACATCCCTTTGCCCCCTCCCCTCTCCTGTCTGGCAGCTAGGCACCCTCATTCACTGTAGGCACAACCTGACTTGTGCTGGAAGTACCAGCACTACCTATAACACAAACATAGCATAATGAACCAACCAAATATTTTAAGTATAGTCAGTCTGGGAAGAGGGAAGGTTAATAACTGACTGAGTGGAGGAGAACTAAAGCATTATGTTTTACCCAGCAGGAGCAAGAAAGCAAGTTTAGAGTAGTAGGAGTCATATAAATGTTTAATTATAATGAACAAAATATTGACTTAATGGTCTCAGTGGTGTGCTGCTAAATTTGAGGAATTATTTTTGAATGCTTACCAAAACCTAGTGCTAAAATCATTTTTGTTTATGTAAAAAGCTTAATAAACAGAGCAGAAGAGAGCGCTGAGATATTTGATCTGAGCTGGTATGAAAACCATTGCATTCTTTTTAGCAAGTGTTGGTACTTAGAAAACAGCAGTCACAATCAGAGGCAGGACATATCCTGCAAAGTGTGGAAAATCTGCTGAACAGTGTCCTCACCCAGTTAAGTCAGTGTTGGTGCTCAGCACCTTATAAGATCAGGCATATTATTTTGCCTTATGAACGGCAAACTACTTTGTGGTTATTGATAGATGAAAAGGAAAATATTTGGCAAAAAAGGGGGTCTGAAGAAAAAAATTTCTACCAGATGATCTTAACTAACAGGTTCCTCTGCACAGGCATGAATAGGTTTATTACACAATGACCTTACAAAAACTGAGTAGGGATTCATCCAAGAATTACTTGCATGCATGGCAGTGGGGGGCTTGGACTTCTGAAAGCAGCTAAGCAAAACTGACTGATTTATAGTAGTGAAGTTAAATTGTAACGAATGTGACTCTACAACCAGATTCTTTTTGAAAATGGTTGGAATTGTGAGATTTCTGCCCTGTAACTTGGCTACATTAATGCAAGTTCATTTGATCTTAAGTTGATGCCTTTCTTTATCAGAATTGCCTAAGGACAGTTCATGAGACTGCCAGTTTTGAATCGGAGCCCAAATTCCAGCACTGCTTTCAGTTCTGCCCCAAAGCCAACAGGCTCTGAACATTGCCTCCTCAGCCCATCTAAAATACAGCATTTTTCACTGTATTTGATGTAAGAGGACTTTTGATGTAGGGAAACAGAGTACTCCTGAAGATTTGAGACCCAGTACTGAGCTCATTTATGCTCATGTAAATCAAGAGCAACTACATTGATTTGGCCCGGGAGACTTAGTCATTAGAATCTGTACCATGCTGTTTATCAGTACCAGGGCTGGTTTTCATTCATTGAGATGCAAGATGTATTGATCATGTTTCTTTCAATTTGCAGATGGGCTTTTTCCGAAGGAGATACAAAGAAATCATTGAGGCTGAGAAGAACAGAAAGGAGAATGAAGATAGTTGGGACTGGGTCCAGAAAAACCAGTGACCTGCCACTAAAGCAAAGCAAAGCAAAGTGAAACAAAAACGCAGTCATGAGACACCTGCTTGCTAGCCTATTGGTCCTGCTCATGTATCTTCCATATGTGGAAGAAGGAATCTTCTCCAGATTTTTCGGAGACCCCATTGATGCTGTGTTCTTGATCATTCTAACAAGCTAGGGAACATATTCCTGAGGCAACCACTGCAGCCATGTCAGGTGACTGGAGCGATTTACATGTCCCATAAAAGTTGAACTTTGAACTTTGGTAACTAAGCTGCAGTGCAGAGCAATATTTATGAATCCAACATATGTGGTATACCCTCAGGGGAAGACTGTTACCTAAAAGTATTTTTATAAATATAAGCTTTTTATACTGATTATGTCTTTATATTTGTATCAATGTTTTATTGTTTCTATTGAATAGCTATATAGTTCACTCAAGCACTGATATCTGGCTAAGATCTTGGAATTACATATATGTATATATAAATCTTATTGTTCTTTGAACTTCAATGCAAAAAAAATGCAGATAAAAGTAGCTGAAAAACCTCACATAGTAAATCCACAAGGCTTTGTAAAGTTGTGTATAAATCATGTAAAGGCAGTGTGCTTTTCACTTTTTTCAAGTTCAAGGTGATTTTTGAGTTATGAGCTAAAGAACCTGAAGTATTATTTCCATATGATTTTCTACAATTGAATCTATCCTTCGGTAATCTAAATTGAGGGAAACAATTCCTCCTACCCAGATTGCAAAAATATTGTTCACGTTGGCTTTTTTACTCCAGAAAAATAGCCTTTTGATCACAAAGCATATTGTACTGAAGAAAGTGGCAAAGAATGTTTTCCTTTGGCAAACTCTGTTCCTCATAACATGTAGCCCTTTGACAATGAGCAAAATTGGGCAGTCAAGACTCCACAGTAACAGAAGTGGTACAACCACTAAGGCATCAACAAATAGTTTGGAGTTGAGAACAATATTAGAATCAATTGTATGAGAGATAGTCTTTATGCTACTGTTAATGGTCATAATTTGTTTCACTTGCTGCTGTCAGTGTTGCTAATGGTAAATATCCATAAGATATGACCATTATCCTCACCTTCTGAATGTAGACATGCAAGTTACATGTTTTTTTATGTGATAACCTTTTAAAGTTTGGCAGTATTGGCTTGATGAGCAAATTAAATGTATTTTTAAATTTGGAGGTTCCAAATGTGCGTGCTTTTGATACTAGATACCATCCATCACCTGGTATTAAAGCCAAATTTAATTTAGATACAAACTTTGGTAAAACACACGTATTTCCTGTAGTAGATCATTTACTGGATTGGAGGAAACACTGTTCAATGAATTCAGCCATGGTCTTAAAAAGAGCAATTGGGTATTTGAATAGAAATAGTGCTCCTGGTGCCATCCATGTTAATAGACTTTTCCTCTTACTTTGCTTCAGTGTAATTAATTTGAAATGCTAGTGTAAAATCAGTGTGAGGGAAAGAAGAATCAAGGCTTGCATGTTAGGGTGAAGTTACATGTTACATATACTAAGAGCACTTAAAATACTATTGTCCGCATAGTAAAGCTTGTTAACTCAAGCTAAGTGCCCTCTGAATGCCTCAAAGTTATACCATTTCAGGTGAGGGTTAATTGGGCCATGCTGCATAGCATGTGTTAGGGTACCTTCAGTCTGCTCCATGGAGATAAAATGAGCCATCTGCAGTCTTCCAGTGTCCCAGGATGAACTGTTCCCAGCCCCCCTTCCATAGTAGACATAGAACGCAGGCGTCCTAGCTCCTAGCCACTCCCCTGCTTGCTAGCCTTCTAGTTGCAAGTCAAAGTTGTGCAGGCAAGCAATGGTATTAACTCTTAACTTGCAACTGCTCACAACATTTTCTGCCTTAACGTTGCTTATCATTTCATAGGTTTAGTATGGTTTAAATGTAACATGTGACTTCACCCTTAGGTAGAAGGAGTTGAAAGAGGAACAAGAACATGATTCATTTTGTAACCCTACTGGGTGCCTCTCTGAGTAAGAGTGGTAAAGAACCAATGAAGACTTGAATGCAAAGGATATACAAAAATCAGTACTTGCCTGATCCTTGCACTTCTTAAGAGGCATTTTCCTTGTAAATTTGTCATAATTTCCAACTAAAAGAACAACAATATTATGCTCATGCTGTTTTTCCTGACACCATGCACTCATTATTTTAATGCAAATCTACCCCACCTTCTTCTCACTGTTTTGATACAGGATATCAGATCCTATTGGGTAGTGGACAGATAGAGTTTTAAAGATGAATAAGCTGCATTGATTCTAAATTTGAAACTGAAGGGCCTTCTTAACTACGTAGCTTGGGTAGTATATTTGACTATCTTTTCTCAGTTGATGATAAATGGATAAATTTGACAGATTTAAAAAAGCAAAAGGTCATTCCATGTTGATACAAAGGGATTCAGTAAGCAAGAATACCATTATAGTACCTCAGTCAAGACGTTTTAAAAGGGGGACAAGACCAAAAGTTGATGGTCTTCTATTGCACTATTTTGTACTATAGAGTTAAGCTAAATTCATCCCCGGTGTAACTCCACTGACTTCGAAGTACTTATGCCAGGAGTATATTTGGCTCAACATGTCTGTTTGTTCTGATAAAATGTTGAAGAAGGCTACTGACTGACCAAGGTATAAAGGCATGAGGAACTGAATAAAGGAGAAAAATAGATTAAATATAAGGATCTAGCTCTCTAAGATTATATAGACAAAGCAAGAGATCCAGTCTTTTAACAATGCATATTTTCAGATATTTACATCTTGACTACGGTCAGAAGATTTTTTTTTTTCCATGAACAGTGGATTTGTTGAAAAGTATCATGACTGAAACTATTCGTGAATATGGGTTGTATTCAATTAATAGTTTCAGCTGAAAAAATGAGGGGAAAGTCTAAAAATGTTGAAATGTTTTATTTTGTTCCAGAAATGCTGAAATGCTTGATTTCAACATATTTTAAATGCCAGGTTTTGGTATTTTGTTTGACAAGGTTCTTTTCCTCTGTAATTACCTTGCATTTTTTTTAAAAAAGCTTAACTAAGATTCATCAATCATTAAAAAAGTAAATTTGGGTTGAAAAATATATTTGGGGTTGATTTGACTTCGTTTTTGCTATATTGTCACAGAAAAAACAAAAATAAATTCCCATTTCAGTTTAATCCAAATCAGTTATTTTTCAGCGTTTTTAGTTTGGCCCCTGAACCAAGATATCCACCATTTGTCCAGCTGTCCTCTGGACTTGCAACAAATTAAGGTCATTTATATGCCAAAACACTACAAAAATAACAGGTGATCTCAAATACCATGATACATGGGTTCAATAGTTTAAGAGCAGAAGACATAAGAAGTGCCATACTGGATCAGACCAATGGTCTCTTTAGCCCAGTATCCTTTTTCCAACAGTGGCAGGAGTGGATACTTTGGAGGCAGAGGACATAAACTGGGTATATCTGGAGTGATCTATCTCCCTGGCATCCACAATCATTAGTTTTCAAATGCCAAAGGATACATGCCTAACTACTCTGTTTAATAGCTATTAATGAATTGTCTAGTCCCTTTTTGAAGCTGGCTAGCTTGCCTGCCTCCACCACCTCCTGTGGCAATGAATTCTACAAGTTAAGTATGCACTGTATGAAAGTACTTTCCTTTGTTAGTTTTAAACCTGCCTCCTAGTTCTAATATTCTGGGACCAGGTGAACAACAGTTTCCTTTTCACTTGGTCCACACCCTTTATGATTTTATAGACCTCTATCCCCTATAGCCTTCTTTTCAAACTGAAGTCCTAGTCTTATTAGTCTCTCTTGGTATGGCAGCTGCTCCATAGCCCTTATCATCTTAGTTGCCCTCATCCATAGCTTTTCTAACTCTACTACATCCCGTTTGAGATAGAGACGAGGGCTACACATGGTATTCAAGATGTGGGTGTGCAATGGATTTATATAGTGGGATGATGAAGTTTTCTGTTTTGTTTTCTTAATGATGCCCGACATATTATTGTCTTTTTTTGGTTGCTGCTGCACATTGAGTTGATGTTTTTAGAGAACTATTTCCAGTGACTCAAAGGTCTCTTTCCTGAGTTATAACAGCTAGTACGCAATGCTGTGTTCTGAGTTGGGGATATTTTTCCCCAGGTACATTACCTTGTGCTTCTGGACATTTAATTCTACTATTTTTTGTTTTGGGGGGGTTTTTTTTGCCCACTCTCACTTAGCTTTGTAATTCAGAACTAACAAGTGTTCACTTGTTCTATGTGAATTCTTCATGGTTTCTTTTACTGGTTTCTTGACAAGTTTTACCTTGACTGCTTTTACTGCAGTTAATAGAGTCAGATTTAATAATGAAATAAAGCAGCACAGGGTGTGTTGAAAGAATTCATTAAGCCTCCAATTTTTTATCAGACATCAGTAGGTTTAAGTCATCTTCTGAGAAGAAAGCAGAATTCTAATGAGAATGCAGTGTATGTCAAATATTCATAGAAAGTAGATATCTGGTGAAGGTGTGCTATTTTTTCATGAAGAAGCAAAGTGCCATATAGTGATTTGATGGTATTTCTGTAATGCATAGGGTGTCCACTTAGACTGAACACCTTTTGAATCCATATTAGTCAGAAGGCGAAGTACCTGCCTTTTAAAGTCAGTTTGTGAAATTCCTAACAGTAAAAAGGTCTAGCACAGGGCATATATATATCCCTTCAATCCCAATTAATCACTATCTTGAGTGCTTAAGTAGGATATTAGTGTTGCATACGTATTAAAGTGACCTTCTGAACGTGTGATGGGTACATTTCATTCAGTGGGAATTGAAAGTATTTCAGCATTTCTCTGTGTACTGAATACATTTCTTAGATAAATCTATCACTTATAAGGAGTTGCTTTTGAAGCTGAATGCAAATCAACCGGTGCCCAACATCTACAGAATCTCTTGATCTAGTATGTATATCAATCATTCTCAGAGGTTGTACTTCAGAAATAAATAATAAAAGTAATAAAAGTATTGTCAGTGTCTACAGTATCATGGAAAGCATAGGTAGTAAAATGCTAACCAGACTTCTCTGAGCAAGTTGGAACTAAATCAGTCTGCCAGATGACCAGGAGTAGATCAACATTACATGGATGGTCCAATCTCAGAGATGGTTGAAGTCACCAGAGTAGCATCAGGGTGCATTTGATGTCTGACTCTCATTTTCTGACAGTATAATTCTGTTCAATATGAAGGGGCCAGTCCTTAGTCTATTAGCTATTTAAACAAAAATGTAAGCCCTAAGTGGGCTTTAAGTCATGTACAGGCCGTGTGCTGCCCACTGAACAAGGAAGAATTTTATCTTGAGGAACTAAAGAAAAGCAAAGTGTAGTATTTATGCTATGTAATCAAGGTGAGACACTACGTGTTAGGGTTGGCAAGCTGGTGAATTAACTGGTCAAATATTATCAACTGACTGTTCAAAGATTATAGCAATTTTTTCAAAAAATTACCTTTTTCAGTTTTCTTGACAGAAATATGATTTTTAAATTTGTTTTTTGATGCAGTTAAAGTAAACAAGTGCTGTTTCTGTGTATTGTTTGGGCCTATTGGCAATTTTTTACAATTTTTACCTATATTGGCCAGAACCATTTAATTGACTAACTTTTATTTGATCAGTCAAATACCTAACCCTAGTGCAGGTGATAACCATTTGCTGCATATGTGAAAAGGAATGTGAAGGTAAAAAGATGGCTACAAGACATCTTAACTTTTGAGATGATTTAGAATTTATGTTTTGTACATGATGGTGATTCCCTTAAAGAAATGC